GAGCAAGAACCGAGCCTTGGGGGACCCCACTGGGAGCGGAATACCACGCAGAGAGCGATTTGCCAACACGGACGCAGAATTTTCGGTCGGTGAGGAAGTCTTGCAGCCAATTCCGCATGACCACACCTACACCTAAGTTGGACAGCTTTCGCAGAAGGAGGTCGTGCGGCATCTTGTCGAAGGCCTTGCTGAAGTCCACGAAGATGATGTCCGTTCAGTGTCCTTTGGCACTGTCCTCGGTCCAGCATTCGGGCNGGATAAAGATAGACTCTCGGTGTTTGAATACCACTGTCTACGCAGCATTGCACGAATTATGGAGTAGACGCGCGAGCGATACTGAGGTTAGGCGCAGAGTTTTGGGTAACCGCGGTCGCCCACTGGAGAAAATGGTCAACCTCCATAGATTACGCTGGTTGAGACATGTGCTACGCATGTCACCAGATAGGTCGCCACGGCGAGCAATGTTTGCCGAGGCCGGTAGCTGGTGGAATGAAGCCAAGAAAGGTCAAGCTAAGACCTGGTACGAGAGTATGGAAACCCTAACCAGGGGACTGGGTCACATAGGTCCCGTTAGGCTCCCTGGCTGGGGACCTCGGGTGATCGTAACCGGTGAGCAGTCACTGAGTGATGTGGATGAGTGTCGTAAACAGTGGCGTTCGTGCATCTCGATTTCTTTGCAGCACTAGGCCACTGACATTCTCCATTTTCTATTCGGCTCTACTTTCAACTTTTCTCTCTTTTTCACACTGTTCATCCAAAAGACAGCAACCAAATTCAGTGCACGAAAGTGCATATTTCATGGTTGCACAAACTGAAGCTGAAAACTAAATGTGCAGTAAATGGGAAAGCCCAGCAATCGTAAAGACCACTGTTCAGTGGCGATGGGGGAACATTTATCCAAAGCACACTATTATGACCCTGGACTGGAATGCAGGAAGATTGTAAGATTGATAAAAAACAACGAGGAATAGTGTCCCCTAGTTCAGCGGTTTTCAAAAGATATAAAGGCAGCCGTACAACAGCCTTGTACAGTCACTTATGAAGGTGACTTAAGACTTGTGACCGAGTCTCACGAACAAATGAAAGTGAGAGAATAAATCAGCAAAAGCGGCGAGAATAACGGCAGAAAAGAGATAAGGGGACAACGAACAAGTGGTTAAAGGATGGATTTTAGGGACGTATCAGTGAGAAGATGAATTCCCTTGCTGGTTGGGAGATAACCAAAAGTCTCTTGGAATGTACGGCTTTACTTTGGCTACTGAAACTGACTCCAACACGATCCGAGGTTGACCGATAATAAACGAAGCTTTGTATCTAATTGGTGTAACACGTTGTTAGTCCGAAATTGAGAAGTTTTGTAAGGAAGCCGTCATAAACTAATGTCTTATTCACTTCTCCTTGAGCTATCAACCTTCAATTTGCAAACGTAATGACTTAGTTGCGACAACCTTTTCTGCCATTCTCGTGGCCGTATTGGAAAGAAAAAATAATAGATAAGATGGTGTGATTATGTTCCGAGCATTGATTGCGTTCGACTTTGGTGGTTTGCCCTGGTGCTCTTTCCACGAACTACTACGGTAAAGGTGGTGCTCGGTCGAGTCTAGTTTTGTACCGTAGATTACAGTCGGGATATCACTAATTTGGCATACATAACACTGAATCATAACATCACCGTTCTTGGCAGCACGCCGGGTAATGAATGTAGCAATCGGTAGTTATTCTTTGAGATACAGCAATTTGCCCTAGGTGGTCTTCTTAATTTTTGATCGTCGAAAGGAATCAACAACTGTTTTGCATACTGCTCATAAACTTGAGTAGTACCTCAACACCAGTACCCAACTGAGAGGACTGATATTTTATTTGAACTCTGACAGTTTCATCCTTGCATCGATTGGCGAAGATGTTTTCGAAAATTGTGACATGCAATCTGCGGCGAAATTAGTTTACAAATGTTATTTTTCATCTTTGCCCCGGGATTTCAAATTTCTGGGCTAATGATTTCGCACACACACAGTTGATTTTGAAAAGTTAATGAAGCACAATTATCCCACTGATTTTCTAGCGTCATCTTCGTCTCGAAAGAATCAATCGGTTATTTTTGCCCATCCCTTTGCAGACTCGTGAATTTCTCTGGTCAAATCCACCAAACACATGGCTTACTGAAGACCGAATACTGGCCTATGTGTATCCGGATGTGCACGACGCTTTACGTTCGGCTGCTCGACTCAATCTTCGGCATAGTTTGTTCTGGCTTGCCGCTCCTGCGTCCGGCTCCCAAGCACAGGGATCGGATGTTATTGCACAACGAGAGTCCGGTGAATTGGTCCCGGTAAACGAATTCCACACGCTTCTGACTCGCTTAGACGAAAGATATCGATTACGTACCGACCGCGCATATGACGCTGAATTGAATGAGAAACTGATACTACCGTGGCGATGGATGAGACGACAATTCGCCTAGTTCATGCTAGTTGTTTGGGGTGAAATCGTTTTCGAATGAAATTGGCTTCGTGTCAAATTTTAAAGGTCGAAATCTAATCGACGGGCAATTCAGCAAATGGTATCTGTCTCCGGGTTTCCTGTCTCTGACTTTATCCTCGTTTATGTTGTTGCCGCATACATTGTGTACTTGATGGAGAAATTGATCTGTCATTTCTAACTATATTTTTTTAATTACAAGGCAAGCTATAAAACAATGCAGTATTTTATCTCTGTTCACGTGTGCTCAGATGGTTTTTATCATAGCTCGATCTAGGAAAGCGATTTTAACCTATTTTTTATCCCTCTCCCAAAGTTACTCACGTTCTGTTTACAGTTCACAAGCTGGATCGACAATCGAGGGTGTGGCGGTAGTTAACATATTTAGGCGAAATAGCTGGACACATTTTCTGACGTATTGAAGGACGAACTCAAGGATATTATTCGGTCGAGATCGGATGTCATTTATCTGTATTTATCCAATCGATCACCGGAGATGTTTAATGAAGTGTGAGAAGATATGTAAGATGAATGGCAATGGCAAACTAATGTATAACTCCTTTTGGTGACAGCAGGGGCTTTCGGCACCATGTACTCTGCAAATCTCAGTAGCGCTCGGTTTGGTGGCCAGTCTGTAACAGGTGGCGAACAATTGATGACGCATGTTTTTTGTGCGGCTGGCTTCATGGACTTATTTGTGTAGCCCGTTCGCTTTCTATGCTGGTATGTGTTCTACCACTCTGGTACGCAGCTGCCCCTCTGTTCTGCCCACGTAGGTGGCTCCGCACTCGCTTTGCAATTCACATATTACGCGCGATTTGACGGACAGAGGGAAGGGCTTCGGATTCTGGGTTGTGGTGAATCGATACGGGCTACTGACGCCACCAGCCGTCTTCGTACAAGTTGGTCTTCGTCATCACCTTTGAATGGCATTTGAATGCGAACGTCACATTTTGGTGCAGTCATCCCCGAGGTCTTGAAGTCGGCTTTTACGGTATACTTTTGTACAAATCTCGCCGAGTAATCAATGAGCGTTATAGCTTCCGCGAGCCGAATTAGCTCACTTTCCATATTATCCGTAGCTTAACCTCGTTTGTATTGGATTGAAGCAAAACTTCGAAATGTATTTACTGGTCGGTCCGCGTAGATTTTCGATGAATTGACCTAGTTTCGTCTGATCTTCGAGCAATAACAGTATCTTGAAGTGTGTGCTGTCTTGTTCGGCTTCTATAGCGAGTTGGATATCCTCGTGAAGCGAATTTAATTCAGCCAACAACTCCTCGCTCACCGTGGCGCTTCGGGTGGTTATCAACGTGTCATCGAAATATCTCCTGCAGAACACAATGCCGTTTAATATTCTGCGGGCTTTATTCTCCAGACTAGCCATTAGTATGTTAGGCAGAATAGGAAAAATTACTCCGAAGGACTGCGCAAATAGTCCGTAAATAAACCCCTGATCTCGGTCAAATCGTTGTCCGCGGACAGGACTTTTTCCGCAGCTGTAGATCGTCGTTCAGTCTGGACACAAGGATCTGAGAGATTAGAAAGAGCCAAGTTTGTGTGACACATTATGAAACCTCAGTCAACTGAATCAGAAGAATCCTTGGGTACAGCAATGCAGACAGCTGGCAAAAACGAGCCGCAGTTTGACGGGCCCGCACACAGAAGCGATTTTTGGATTTTTACGGTACCTCCGAGTAGAATAAATAATGCTATGCTAACCACGTAGGAGACAAACAGACTGTCGGGCTGATGATCACCGGAGAAGAGAACTTCACGAAAATAATAACCAACTGTTGCAATTTAGATGTTTATTTCAATGCTGTTCTTTTTAATAAATAATTCCCTTCAATCCGGCACTTCCTTCTTGAATTATAATAGTAGGAAGTTAGTCATATTTTCTCGGCGTTTCTATTAGATTGGAGGTAGCCAAAGTAATGAATAGAATACTGCAATCTGTTTGGTGCATTTGCTCCATGCGTACTCTAAAGAAAAATCTAGGCTGTGCGCAACCCTGTGAATATGTCACGCTTTTCCATCATTTAAAGCAGTTTTCTGGCTCCTCCAGTAAACTCTCACATTGTCTTACAACTATATTTTGACCAAAAACCGTTTGGAAGCATCCCGTGAGACCAGATTCGGTGATTGCCAGGAAGACAAAGTTGCTATTCCGTGACAAACAACATTCTATCGTAATTGTCATATGGTAATCGGAATAGACAGGAGTCGATAACGAAATGCGGAATCGTACTGGTAATTTAATGCCCAAATTTCGCGTCACCGAAAAGCAGGAAGGTCACCGAAATGGGGGTTCATTTGATTGAAAGAAATCAACGGGATCAAATAGTATGTACAAAGAAATGCCATCCGTTAAATAGATCTTCACCAATTACCTGTTTGTACTATCTTCGTCACAGAGCTTCTGGTTGAACCACATGGTTTCTGATTGGTCGATAATATTGACTAGTTGTTTGTAGTCCAGAAACTGTATCATCTAGTCCCTCGGCTAGGGATACCTCGGAGGCTGGGATCATCATGTGTGTGGTTCTCATCGGGATAGGGATGTTAGAGAGTGTGCAATCCCGTGGAAATATTACCATCAAAACTAGTTCAAAGTTACCCAACCAAGTGTAGTACCTTAACTGGACTACAGATGGAACACGCACTTATAGGTTCATCCCGGTACAAGGGATAGAAGTCAACATTTAATGACCGAGGCGGGTGTTGGGTGAAATCCAAACACTAGAATCGGCCCGGCAATCCTAGTGGTAATCCGTTGGACTCAACCGTGTATGGTTTGATCTGAGGCATCACAAGCCCAGAGAATGTGCACCAGTGTCCATTGGTTGTAATAACGAAACGGTTGCACATCATTTGCAAAGCGTTTAGGGGCATGTCTTATTTGATTACAAAAGTCCTATTATTCACAGAGTGGATTAAGTCAAAATCGTGGTCTAACAAAACTGTCCGTCTCTGGACAGTCATTTAATTGATATCCAGTAAATCAGGCTTACTC